AAAAAAAAAAAAAGGGGTTGTGCCTGTGGTTCAGTGAGTAGGGCGCCAGCCCCATATACCAAGGATGGTGGGTTCAAACCCAGCCCCTACTGCAACGAAAAAAATAGCCGGACATTATAGTAGGCACCAGTAGTCCCAGCTACTTGGGAGGCTGAGGCAAGAGAATTGCCTAAGCCCAAGGAGTTGGAGGTTGCTGTGAGCTGTGACTTTATGGCACTCTACTGAGGGTTAATAAGTGAAACTCTTGTCTCAAAAAAAAAATCTTAAAAAAAATTATTTGTCATTGTTTGATTTTTGTTTTGTCAATCAAAACCAATAGTTAATATCTGCTGTTTATGGCCTCAGTTAATTATATGGTGCATGTTGAACTTAATGCTTTTCAGTGCAGTTTTCATTTATAGAGTTGGTGATATAGTAAATTTATAATCTATCCCTAAAGCTTTTTTTGAAGTAATGAAGTAACTCTTAACTAGCATATTTTATTAATTTATATATTACCTATGTTAGTAAAAAATGTTATGCTTACTCTTAAAAAAGTAGTATTACATTTTAAAGATTAAAGTAATTCCAGCAGTATTGCATTTATTGCTTATCTAAACTGTTGATGTGTTTGCATATTAAATATAACTGTGTTCTAGGTTAACTTCTCAGCCTGGTGCTTCATTACCAAACGGACATAGTAGCTTATGTGAGTATTCTGTTATGAAACCGGTTAGTACTGAAATTATTTTAATGGTGTTAGAGAAAGCATTAAAGTGGGGCAAAATAGAGTAATTTATAGTATACTGAGCATACAGTTGGAAATAGCTGAATTTCAACCATTATAAAAATGTATGTAATTGTTAACCTTTCAGAAATTAGTATAACTGAAACAATTTATTACGGCAGATTTAAACACTTATAAAATTTTAAAATATTGAATGTTAAAGCCATGTAAGATGTTATATTCAACTTTGTGTAGTCTTTTATAGTAAGCTTTTAATTTTTTTTCTCTTCTTTCTTTTTGTAATCTACTTCAAAATGTAAATTATCTCTTTTCTTGTAGCCCTTCGAAGTCATCCCCTTCGAGGGGAAAAAAAGGGAGATGCGGACCTTTCTTGTATGAACGGTGATATGGAAGTCAGAAAAAGTTGTCGTTCTAGGAAAAATCGATTTGAAAGTGTGAACCAGAGTTTGTTATTTGATCAACTAGTAAATAGGTATGACTATCCATTAATCTGTTTTACTTAATTATTTGAATTTTAAGCTATAATTTCTTTTTATTCTTGTGGAATATATTGAGTATTAAAGAGCCATAATGTTTTTTAAAAAATAATGTAAGAAATGATTTAGCAATAAATGTAGTTATATTAAAACTTAATTTGAATTAATGGTTAGCAGTTATCAGTTTTTCAGTCATTATAATAGATTTAATACAATTTATATAGTAGCTAATTTTCCCATCTCTTTTAAGCACTTGTGCATAGTTAGATAATATAAAAGGAATTTTATTGTATCTTCATTACTATAGTCCTTTGATATTTGCTCATTTAATTTTTTTTTTTTTGAGACAAAAATCTCATTATGTCACCCTCCGTTGAGTACTGTGGCATCACAGCTCACAGCAACATCACAGTCTTGGGCTTAAGCCATTCTCTCGCCTCAGCCTTCTGAGTAGCTGGGACTACAGGCACCTGTCACAACGCCCAGCTATTTTTTTGTTGTAGTTGTCATTGTTGTTTGGCAGGCTTGGGCCGGGCTAGAACCAGCCAGCCTCTGTATTTGTGGCCGGCGCCTTAACTACTGAGCTATGGGTGCCGAGCCTGCTCATTTAACATTTGTAGTTTTGACAGTTTTGAAACAATATTATGTTCTTATTGGAATATAGTAAATAAATAGTCAAGATTTTTGAATTGAAGATATTATACTTGATATATGAGATTAAGTCTCTTACCAAGTGAGTGAACCTAGCTGACTGTTAGCTCAACATCTACATTCATAGGACTTTATTCTTCTCAATTAGTACAACATTATACTTAATCCTTAAATGGCCTGGAGAAAGGAAGTCAGTATAATCCCTATTTGACAGGACAGGAAATTACATCATCTTGTGGTAACATCAAATTTGGGTATGTTATTATTTGTTAAATATTTAGATCAGTATTGGATATCTAGTAAATGTTATATAAATGTTTGTTAAAAGATAAAATAAAAATTGCTAAGATGTTAGAATATAGTTTTTGAATGTCAGATGTTCTCTAATTTCTAAAAATGTTTAATTAACATTATATTGGCTTTAAACTTCTTACAGATCTATTTTGTGCAATGTTATTCTTAACAGCAACTTCAAATAAAAATATTGAATTAGATTTTTTTTTTTTAAGTGTCATAGGTATAGTAATCAGTTCCTTATAGTAGCATTGTATATTTTGGAATCCTATAAACAAAAGCCTTTCCTTTTTCTTTTTCTTTTCTTTTTTTTTTTTTTTTAGGCAGAGTCTCACTTTGTCGCCTTTGGTAGAGTACCATGGAATCACAGCTCACAGTAACCTCAAACTCCTGGGCTTAAGTGATTCTCTTTCCTCAGCCTTCCAAGTAGCTGAGACTACAGGCACCTGCCACAGTACCTGGCTATTTTGTGGTTGTTGTCATTGTTTAGCAGGCCCAGGTCAGGTTCAAAGTCACCAGCCCCAGTGCATGTGGCCAGCACCCTAACCACTGAGCTATAGGTGTGGAGCCTTTAAAGTTGTATTTTAATAAATATGTTAAGATAAAAGATGTTCTGGTTTCAATTTTTTATTGTGCATTGTCTTTTGATGGATGCTGGTATGGAAGATATTTAATTCATTTGTGATGAAATGTACAGTTAAATGTCATAGGTGGTCCCACCATTGTCTAAACCCCGATTTTATTATATGATTCTAGTACTGCTGAAGCTGTATTACAGGAAATGGACAACATCAATATTCGAAGGAATCGTAGGTCAGGAGAAGTAGAACGACTTCGAATGTGGACAGATACAGAATTTGTAAGTATATTGAATACATCAATCTTGGCAGTTATTTTTTATTTTAATTAAAGAATTTAAAGGGAGAATGAGCAACAGTTGGATTTTTTTGAATCAGCATGATTGTTGCTCCTCATTTCCAACTTAGTTTGGAATTTTATTATTTTATCTATCTGTTTTCACTTATTTATTTAAAAATAATCTGGAGTGAGGATAGGGGAGACATAAATTTATACTTAACAGGTACAATGCACACTATCTGGGCATGGACACAATTATAACCTTGATTCAAACTGTACAAAAGGGTATTGCATGTAACCAAAACATCTATACCCATGTAATGTTCTGAAATTGGAAAACAAAGCAAAACAAGAATTTGGCCCAGAACAGAGTGCAGTGGCATGATGGTAGCTCACTACATTGTCAGACTTTTGGGCATAGTCTTCCTCATCAGCTTCCCAAGCAGCTAGGACTACAGGTATGTGCTAGCATGCCCTGCTAATTAAAAAAACTTCTTTTGTATGTTGCTATGAGAACATAGAAAGTGTCTTGCTGTGTTTCCCAGGATGGTCTCAAACTTTTGGCCTCAAGCCATTCTCCCTCCTCAGCCTCCTAAAACACTGGGATTGTAGGTGTGAGCCACCGCACCTGGCCTACTTTAGGATTTTATGGCTTGCTTTTCCTCTTTTCTTCTTCTTCTTCTTCTTTTTTTTTTTTTTTGTTAATTAAAAACAACCTTTATGGTCTGGCATATGCTTTTATCTTTTTACTCACCATTGCCCAAATATAAACAAATCATTCTTGTTCCCATGTCTTTTACTCTTGTTAATACTTCTGGTTAACAACAGCTACAATCTTACCTTTGTTTCAAGGTTCATTTCAAATGTGGCCTCCCTTCCCTTCACCTCATAATAAGAGGAGGGTCTTCTCTTTGCATTCTAGAATACTTCCTACCTCTCTTTGTGGCTTTTAGCTTTCCTTTTATAATAGGCTGCTATTTGCTTGAGGGAAAAAGTGATTACATGTATAAGTTTTGTGTTTCTCCTTTTGTTCCTTATGTTGGATTTGGAAAGTTCCATTTGCACAGATTTGTGCTTTGGAAATAGGTGCCCAATAAATTTTATTAAGCAGGCTTGTCCTATTGTGTTAACTATTTATTATTTATAGTGGAGAATGAATACTATATTAGTATTTGACAGTTTTCTCTCTTTAAAAGGAAAACATGGATATGTATTCAAGAGTGAAAAGACGAAGAAAGTCACTGAGAAGAAATAGTTACGGGATACAAAATCATCATGAAGTTTCCACTGAGGGTGAAGAAGAAGGTTTGTAAAATACCTCATGTAATAAATACTGCAAAGTACAGGTGGGAGGGAAGAAAAATATGTAAGTAATGATATATGTAATATTGCCAGGCGAGTAATTTTTGTATTTTGAGGTATGTAATGTATATTAGAAATAATTTAAAAATAGTTGGCATTCTGAGTTTTCATTTCCTTCATTTGGAAAAAATGCTTGTAAGCGTGCATTAAACATTCTGTAATATATTTCATGTATTTCATGAATAGTCATTGATAATCCTAAGTTATCTGGTGTGCATTTCTCATAGGCTAATTTGCTTTTTAGGTGAGGCCTCTTTTATACTTTAGCGCCTTCTCTTTTCTTTTCTTTTTTTTTTTAAAATTAATTTTGTGTTTTTTTGAGACAGAGTCTTAAGCTGTTGCCCTGGGTAGAGTGCTATGGCTACTCTACAGCTTGTATAGCTTACAGCATCCTCCAACTATTGGGCTCAAGCTGGCCTCTTGCCTCAGTTGTTTTTTTTTTTTTTTTTTTTTTTTAATAGAGACAGAGTCTCACTTTTTCGCCCTCGGTAGAATGCACTGGAGTCGCTCCAACAACCTCTAACTCCTGCACTTAGGCAATTCTTCTGCCTCAGCCTCCCAAGTAGCTGGGACTATAGGTACCCGCCACAACGCCCGGCTATTTTTTGTTGCAGTTTGGCTGGGGCTGGGTTTGAACCCGCCACCCTCAGTATATGGGGCTGGTGCCCTACTCACTGAGCCACTGGCGCCTCCCTTGTTTTTTTTATTTTGTAGTAGAGATGGGGTCTTGCTTTTGCTTGGGCTGGTCTTTGGACTTGTGAGCTAAAGCAGTCCTCCCGGAGTGCTGGGATTACAGGTGTGAGCCACTGTGCCCAGCCGGCACCTTCTAACTGGAAGGTGGTTTTGCTATCCATAGCTAAATCTCTGATAATTTGGATCTTGAATTTAGTTATGGACTAAGAAATGAATGTAAAGAAGTAAGTAAAGTTGTGGACTAAGAAAAAAGTGTAGAGAAAGTTAGTAAGTTTAGAAAAAGAAGGTCCCCTAGGATTAGTGGAGGAGATATACTGTTCTTTTTTTTTT